GCTCACCGGAAGCACTTTTTCATCAAAACAAGATGGCGGCGCCCAGCGCTTCCGGTGAGCTTTTCCGGGTAGAAATGGCTTTCTACCCGGAAAAGCTCACCGGAAGCACTTTTTCATCAAAACAAGATGGCGGCGCCCAGCAAACCAGCGGCCCGGTAGGACTTGTTCCACGGACCGGTACCAGTCCGCGGACCGGTGGTTGGGGACCCCTGTTCTAAAGCACCTGAAGGCTAGACTGAAGCTGATCAAGGAGAGAACTTGGAAATAAGGAGAAATTTTCAGACAGTGAGAACAATCCACCTATGGAACAGCTTGCCTTCGGAAGTTGTGGGAGCTTCATTACTGGAAGCTTTCAAGAAAAGATTGGACTGCCATTTGTCAGAAACGGTGTAGGGTCCCCTGCTTAGGCAGGGGGTTAGACTAGATAGCAATAGCACTTAGACTTATATACCACTTCACAGTGCTTTACAGCCCCCTCTAAGTGGTTTACATAGTCAGCCTATTGCCAACAATCTGGGTCCTCATTTTACCCACCTCGGAAGGATGGAAGGCTGAGTCAACCTTGAGCCTGGTGAGATTTGAACTGCCAAATTGCAAGCAGCCAGCAATCAGCAGAAATAGCCTGCAGTACTGCTCTCCAACCAGTGTGCCACCATGGCTCAGATGACCTACAAGGTCCCTTCCAACTCTGTTAATCTGTATAATCTGTATAGAGTATGCACCAAAAGAACAGTGGGAGACATACCCCTGCAAACGAAGAGAGGCATTCATATTTATGTATTTCAGAAAGGGAAATGATGCATGCACACATATTTGTAAGTAATAATGTAACAGACCCCAGGTTCCTTCCTGCCCTCCTGTTATATGTAGAGAATAATGGTTTTGGTTAGAAAAAAACATGTGTATCCTGAGCTTCAGGGATTGCTTTGGGAATATTCTGATAAAATTCAACACAGGTCACTATGAGTTGCAATGACACATTCCTCATGTCTTCATTTGTCTATTAAACAGTCCCATTCATCTGAAAGCTTGATTTCCCCCCACCAAACCAGGTATACCTCATTCCTTTCACATCTTTTAAAATAATTATATTTCCAATTACAGAGGATACCTGTCTGATTTGGAGATCAAGGAAGAACTACTCTTCAGCATGACTTCATGTGAGCTGGATTGATTCAATTTCCTAGAAAAGGAAACAAGAGACCATGATCGAGGAACAATTGCGAACTTGTGGAGGAGGTCGGAGTTTGGGGATCGAACCATTTTGCTCTTGAACTTGAAAAATTCACACTTCTCTTCTTGGTACCTCTGTGAAGCCACAGACTTTCAAGTTTTTCTCCCAAGGTTATAACAATGACTTATTGATCAAAACCAGAAGCACGCTTTCCAACTGAATTCAGATAAATCAAGATTTGCGAAGGTGCTATGTAATTTTGTACACTTGAAACTATAAATCAACAAGCAAAAAAAGAATCACCCATCTGCTCCACCACCAACCCTGGAAAAATGACCTTCTTCCATTTTTCCCATTTATTTATTTTTTAATTTTGATTATGCAATGCTCTGCTTTCTGCAATCCTTAATCAACTCCTTATCACCCATCACTCCTTATCACCCATTCCCTCCCACTTGTGACCGCATGACTGTAACTTTGTTGGTCGTATCCTTACGATTTATATTGACTGTTTCCTAGTATGATTTGATTACTTATTGTGCCCTATGACTATTATTAAGTGTTGTATCTTATGATTCTTGACTCTTGACGAATGTATGTATGTTTTCTTTTATGTACACTGAGAGTATTTGCATTAAAGACAAATTCCTTGTGTGTCCAATCACACTTGGCCAATAAAGAATTATTCTATTCTATTCTATTCTATTCTATTCTATTCTATTCTATTCTA